CCTGGTCATAGGCAGCCATCTTGTGAGGTTAATTTGCATATTACCTGTGTATTATATGAATTCAGTAGCTTACTGTTTGAAAAACAGTAAGACAGCATTACTATTTTCCAGAGCTTTTGTTCTGCAGTGACTTTCCCATTGGGGCTTGGCAGATATTTATAATACAGAGTAATGCGGTCCAAACTGGCCTGTTTGTACAGTAGTCTGAACCTGCTTTAGCACTCTTTCTTGTTTTGGGTGTCACTTAAAAGGATCAGTCATATACATCATCCAATAAACGTGCCTGAGTGATAGTTTGAAGCATGGGATACACTTCCTGCAAAACCCAGATGAGTTTCTTTTACTTTTCTGGCATATTCCAGACCACTGGACATACAAAACTTGAAAATATGATAGTCCCTAGAATTGTGTAAGTTTATTTTTTTCTTCCTATTTTTTTCCAGTTTTATTATTTTTTTTAATTTTATTGAATTTATTGGGGTAACATCTATATTTATAAAACAACCAGTCGACCATTTGATTGGTCACTATGACATGCACTGACCACCAGGGGTCAGACACTCAACACAGGAGCTGCCCCCTGGTGGTCAGTGCACTTCCACAAGGGGAGCGCCGCTCAGCTGACAGGAGCCAGACTCCAGGCTCAGGGCTGGTGAGCACAGCTGTGGCAGTGCAAGCCTCTCCCACCTCTCTGGCAGTGCTATGAGCAGTGAGCAGTGGAGGCAGCGGCAGGCAGGCACGCACAGCGGGGCCAGGATGAGTGGAGCAGCGGGGTCCCCTGGCCTGGGCTTGGGCTCCTCCCTGACCACCTGCTGCTTTGCACACTACTATATCCCTCAGGGGCTGTTGGACTGCTGTTTTCGGCCCAATCCCTGCACCTGAAACCAGCAGTCCAACTTCCCCTGAGGGAGGTCCCAGAGTGCGAGAGGGTGCAGGCCAGGCTGAGGGACTCCACTGCTGCACGAATTCATGAACCAGGCCTCTAGTTGGTTAATAAAATTATATAGGTTTCCAGTATACAGTTTTATAACACATCACCTTTATATTGTATTGTGTGTTCACCACCCAAAGTCAAGTCCCTTTCTGCACCATTCATACCCCCTTCACCCTCTTCTACCTCCCCCCACCCTCTTTTCACTCTGATGATCACTATACTGTTGTCTGTGTTTATGAGGATTTTTTCTTAATCCCTTCATCTTTTTCACCCAGTCTGTTATTTGTATCTATGAGTCTATTTCTATTTTGTTTATTTATGTTTCATTCAATGAAGACCTATGTGTCTTTACAAGCAATCCAGAAAACGTGCCACTTTTTGTTAATCAGGACTGAGTTGTAGGATAACATCAATGAAATAGACCAATGTGATCTGTTCTTAGAATATCACAATGGTCAACGTCCCTCCTAACTACATTATGAGGAAAATTAATATATCCTGGGATGTATCTAATGTCCATTCCAGATATAAATTTGGAAATACAAATATACATTTGGAAGCAAATATAAATGACTGCTAGGTGATCCCGTGGGCCCGGTGTGTCCAACATAAGAGGGACCTAAGCCAGAACTCCATTTCTTTCCTGTATTAGTTTCCCATTGCTGCTGTATAAAGTTACCACAAACTTAGCAATTTAAAACAATACTAATTTGTTATAAAGTTTTAAAGACCAGAAGTCCATAATGTTTCACTAGGCTACAGTCAAAGTATCAGCAGCGCTAGTCCCTTCTGGAGGCCCTGTGTGAGCATCTGCTTCCTTGCCTTTTACAGCTTCTAGTGGCCACCTTGGCTTGCGGCCCCTTCCTCCATCTTCAAAGTGAATCACTCCAATCTCTGCTTCCATCATCAAATTGCCTTCTCCTCTGACAGACTACTTTTGTTTTCCTCTTATAAAAGCAATTGTGATTACATTGGGTCCACCTGGATAATCCCGTTTCAAAATGCTTCATCACAATGAACAGATGTAACAGGTAGCATTAATAGGTTCTAGGCAATAGGATGTAGACTTATCTTAAAGGCCATTATTCATTCTACCACATTACCTAACACCGACCTACATCCTACTCAAACAGGGATGCCAGGAAAGCATTGCTGGGTTTTAAGATCTACTCAAATTTTGTTTTCCAAAGCATTTTCAATATCTGGACATTTTTCTTTATCCCATGTGTGGTCATCTGAATATATGACAATAGATTTTCTTGGAGACCTGGGATAATTGCTTCTCCCCTTGCTGTTACAAAGTCCTTTCAAATTAAGATCCAATGTTTCCTCTAGTCCAGTGGTTCTCAACCTTGACTGCACATTAGAATAACCTGGGAATCTTTTTAAAATCCTGATTTCTGGGCCTCATCCTCTGGAAATTCTGTTTCTTTGTTATGGGGTGCCACAACATTACCTTGGCTGCACATTAGAATCACCTGGGAGTCTTTTTAAAATCCTGATTTCTGGGCCTCATCCTCCGGAAATTCTGTTTCTTTGTTATGGGGTGAGGCCACAACATTAGTAACAAAGAAACAGAATTTCCGGAGGATGAGGCCCAGAAATCAGGATTTTAAAAAGATTCCCAGGTGATTCTAATGTGCAGCCAAGGTTGAGAACCACTGCTCTAGTCCATGAGTTCTAGGTCTGAAAACTATCTTAGAGTTAGAATCTGAGTAATGTATTGTAACTTTCCACTGAAGCTTACTTCAGCTTTCTGGTGCTCTATTCTTTGATCTCTTTGATTACATATATGAAACAATATATTCCTTGGCTGTCCATTTACTTTGCCTCTAAAACACAATGTTCTAAGTCTTCTCCATAGACCACAGTAGGTCAGGCCCCTGCATGCCATTTCAACCCGAATGTCCTTTGCTGTAATTAAGCCAACATATCATCTCACATTAAATGCCCTAGCAGTGGTCGGCAAACTCATTCGTCAACAGAGCCAAATATCAACAGTACAACGATTGAAATTCCTTTTGAGAGCCAAATTTTTTAAACTGAAACTATATAGGTAGGTACATTGTTATTAACTTAATTAGGGTACTCCTAAGGCTTAGGAAGAGCCACACTCAAGGGGCCAAAGAGCCGCATGTGGCTCGCGAGCTGCAGTTTGCCGACCACGGCCTAGGGCAGTGATGGCGAACCTTTTGAGCTTGGCGTGTCAGCATTTTGAAAAACCCTAACTTAACTCTGGTGCCGTGTCACATATAGAAATTTCTTGATATTTGCAACCATAGTAAAACAAAGATTTATATTTTTGATATTTATTTTATATATTTAAATGCCATTTAACAAAGAAAAATCAACCAAAAAAATGAGTTCGCATGTCACCTTTGACACGTGTGACATAGGTTCGCCATCACTGGCCTAGGGTATCACCTTGGCTTAACATTTCAATTAAGCAATAAAGGCTGTGTTTTCTGCCTTTTCTCAAGGCTGCAGCCAACCTTCTGTTTTCTTAGAGTGTGTAAATAAAGACCTGTGTTTTTATTTCTCATCTAGCCTTTTTTTTTTATAGCTTAGAGAAGTCTGTTTTGGGGGAGAAAAGGATGCTTGGAATGGTGAGGACCCACAGGTGTTTGCACTCAATCTAAAAATACCTGTTTGAAGAGAGAGAGTGCCAAAATGAGGGGAGGACGCTTGAGAATAGGTAGATTCACACTCTCTCAGCCCCCTCCCTTTCCTGTGCTCCCACTTCTCAGGAGAATTGGTGTTTCGCATTCCTCTCTGTCTGATTTCTTTGTTCTGCTTTCCACCTTCATCCTTATACAAGCCTTATATGCATTGATATTGCTAAGGTGGGAACTGGGTAAAGTTATGCATCTTCTCAAGATGCCAGCATTTGAATACGCCTCTTTCCTTTTTCACCAGCACCTGTCTTACAAATTTGGCTTTCCCTGCAGCAGGCAGCCAAACCTGGGTTCGGTTATAAGGATACAACTTTTATATCCCCGTTCTAAGACTCAGAGTCCCATTTCTTTTCCTATCAGTGTCCTGATTTTGCATTGGAGATTTGTTCAAGGTGCAAATTCTGCATTCTCTTAAGTTTCTGTACCTGAAATTTAGCTGTCTCTGTCCTTCAGAGGTAAAAGATAAGAGTTTTTAAAAGTGCTGCCAAGAAAGACCTCTAACTCACACATGTTGCTATTGACATATGGAATCTCCAAACCTGTAGGGAATTTTTATAAGAGTTTATTTAGGCCAAACTGACAATCTATGATGAGGAGCAAGACCTCATATACTCCAGATAATAAGAGCTTTACAGCTTCTTTTATGCATTTTACATTAATGAGGGAATTTAAGGACAATTACATGGAGCTGAGGGAAAGCAAGGCTAGGATCGAATTACAGGATGTTTAACAAGATTTTGTGGTTTCTTGAGGGTTAATAGCCCCTTTCTGGGTATTACTTCTGGGATTTTAAAAGTATGTTAATCTAGATGCACAAGAAAAAATGGGCAGGGCTTAAGGCAAAGATAAATATTTTACTAAAACATTACAGGTCTGGGCATGACCTTCCCAGCTAGGAATTTATGATCAGATCACCCTGTGAGATTTCTTTCCATAGAACCCCTTTTTCTGTCCATATTGTTTTATACTCCATTAACAAATCAGAACCACATTTGTTTTTCTTTGAAAAGCATCAGTGGTGCTCAGCAACAGCCACTCAATGACACAATCTTTATAGTTATTTTCCCCAAACCTCTCAAATGCCCCAGATATTACACCAACTGGTACTTTTTCTTCCACCTGTATCTCATCACAGTTTATCACAGATGAATATTTTAGCAACATCACTGCTACAACATGTCATAGGCTACCAATGCCTACTTACCAAAAGCAACAGAGTTAAATGGTGATGAAAAAAACAACAACAACAAAACAAACAAACAAAAAAAACAACTAAAGGGAAAAAAACACACCCATTTAAACAGAAAAAAAACAATGTAAGAATATTTTGTCTACACATAAAAGAATTCTTTCTAAAAAATAAATAAAAAGTAACAGAGAATTGTTACCACTTTTTTTTTTTGCTAGGTATAATTTTATTTTATATAAAAAATGTTTTTGTGATTCCTCAGAGCCCAGGGATTGGTGCTGGTGGTTGGAGGGACCGGCCCCCCACTGGCTCCTTTAATCCTCTGTCCAGGTGCCCTCAGAGCCTAGGCCAGGAAAGCAAGGTGGAAATCAGAGCAGGAGCCCCATTCTCTTGTTAATCCATTCATTCTGTGATTTCAGGGGTCACATATAAAGTCAATGTTTCCGGTCCCCGCCGGATCCGCACTGCCAGCTGGGATTGGGTTCGAACAGCTTCATAAATATCTTCAGCATTTTGTACCACCTTCTCCCCAATGGCCAAGATCACATCACCTGGCCGCAGACCAGCCCTAAGGCAAAGGATGGGCAGAGAGAAAGAAGGGAGCAGATAGTCCAGTTAAGGGCACATGCACACCTTACCCATCCCCACCGCACAGCGCAGTCTCTCCCTCACCGGTGTGCAGGGGAGTCCAGGATGACTTTATGGATGAGCACACCATGTTGAACATCAGGAAAGCTTGGTTCTCGAAGCTGTAGTTCAGCAAGGATGCTG